GGCTAACACAGCTCATGGTGAAGGCTTCTGGGAGTTTTAGTCCAAGAACATCTGGGGACCGAAGGAGGGGAACCCTTGCACTACGCGACTGTGTGAGACCGAAGGTGCAGCTGCATCCATGTCCATTTAGAGTGAGGGATTCTGATAAATCTGCCTTACTCCACACCAGATGCCAGATTTCAGATTACATAGCTATTAAGGGAGATGGCCTCCTTTGATATAAATGGGATGAACACAGTACGAGTTGTAGGCTTCAAGGAGCCCCCGAAGGTTACATAAGGGACAACGTCATCTTAGAATAATCTTAGAACTGCAGAGCTGAAAAAGACCCGAGGAATCATCCAGCCCAGCAACTATCAGGGAGGCACAGTGGGGAATTTGAACTCCCCACCTCTGGCTCCACAGCCGGGGACTTAAACCCCTGGTTCTTAACCTTGGGTTACTTAGGAGTTTTGGACTGCAACTCCCAGAAGCCTTCACCAGCAGCTGTGCTGACTGGGGTTTCTGGGAGTTGCAGTTCAAAAGTATTTGAGTAACAAAGGTTAAGAACCACTGATTTAAACCACTTAGCTATCCATAATTATTTTTTAAAATGGCCGTTTCTGCTCTGGAGTAACTAGGGGGCTTTTTAAACAAGCCAGAGCACTTTGAGGCACCTGGTTTTGCTCCCAATCTCCCTTGGCAAAAGTAGACATTCATGTCTGACCATATCTTGTCTCCTTCTCCCCTCCCTGAAAACGTTCAGGACTGGCACGGCCCATGCCAGATCCTGGAGGTGCAGAAAAAAAAAGAACATTAGCAGGGCATGAGTTCAGATACAAAAGGTTGGCTCGGAATGCTGCAGATGCTTTTAAAATGAAACAATGAATAGCTCAGGGGTTGAGATCTCTGGCTGCAGAGCCAGAGGTTGGAGGTTCGATTCCCCCCACGGGCCTCCTTGACAGGGGCTAGACTGAATGATCCCAATGAATAGCTCAGGGGTTGAGATCTCTGGCTGCAGAGCCAGAGGTTGGAGGTTCGATTCCCCCCACTGAGCCTCCTTGACGGGGGCTAGACTGGATGATCTTTAAGGTCCCTTCCCTGCAGTTCTGTTTTCTGCAAATAGGGGATCAGCTACGTATACCGATGAGCCTGTGCTGCCACCGATGGCTATGCCGAATCATGGCACCACAGACCACAGCATGCCCAGGGAGGGGGGGGGCTTTCCTCTGACCTTGTGGACGGCTTTCTGCTGCCCGATCCGTCTTAATGGTGTGGCTGCGTGCTTCCATTAGCAGCAATCAACTTAGGGGAAATTGCCCGATCAATTGGTCCGCTTAGAGCGCGGTGGGAATGCTTATGGCCTTTTAATTTTCGTTTTAATTTGTTTTGTCTTTGGGATGTTGGCTGAGGTGCTCCCCCCCCCGCCCTTCCTGGGTTGCGTCCCCTACCCTTCTGAGTCATGCTTTTCCTTCCTCGGTTTTCGGCCATCCGTGGAATGATTTCACGGACTCCTTTCGCCTATTTATTTGTTTAAACTCTTTGTATCTGGCAGTTCTTCTCGAGACCACGTCCTCTTCTTGGAAACCTGGCGCTGGCTTGCCACCAGGAGAATTTGGGGACCAGGTAGCTCTCTTGAAGCTCAGTCCAGCTTCCCCTGCCCCCCCACAAGTCTTATGAGGAAAACACATAACATTTCAGAATATTGGTTATGTCCTGTCACGTTGCCCCTGATTTAAGGTGATCCCATGAATGAGCGATCCCCAAAATGTCCTCTCCTCAATGGGCCTGCTCAGCTCTTGCAAACTCAAGGCGGTGGCTTCCTTTAGAGAGTCAGTCCATCTTGTATTGGGCTCTTCCTCTTTTCCTGCTGCTTTCAACTTTTCCCAGCATGATTGTCTTTTCCAGAGAATCCAGCCTTCTCATGAACAGCCCAAAGGAGGACAGCCTCGGTTTCAACATTTTCACCACCAGAGAGAGTTCAGGCTCAATTTGATCTAGGCATCCACTTGTTTGTCTTTCTGGTTGTCAAAGTTTTATGAATTTGATCTAGGCATCCACTTGTTTGTCTTTCTGGTTGTTCAAGGTTTCGGTAAAGCTCTCCTCCGGCACCACATCTCAAACTGCTCCCCCCCCCCATCAGCTTTCTTTCAGTACAAAGATTAAGGGAGTGTTTGGGACCAGGAGGTACTCAATACAGCCCTTTGTTATGGGGAGGGGTAGAACTTAAGAATAGCAATCCGGAGACTTGTGGGAGGGGGAATATAGATCCACCTGGAAGACCCCTTGTAAAGCTGGACTAGTCACCCATTTGTGCTGGTCTCCCCGCTTGCATTCACATATAGGGTGAACCCCATGGGTGCCTGTGAATGATGCTGATTTAGGATGATTGTCAGCCTGGTTGGGGGGAATGTCCTGTTTGGTGAATCTGAGAAAAAGTCTTTAGTCTATGGGAACTTTATGGGAACCGTAGTCCAAAAGAAAAAAAACACCAATGGTTCCAAACTCTGGAAAGTGCACAGCTCTGCCTAGGATGTATACCTATATACATGTGTTTGTTCCTTTTTAATATTTGTCTACTGATGGTTTTAGCGTTTGACTTTTAAGGATGCACGCATCCTCTTTAGACGCCTTGCTCTTAGCTTTAAACATTGTTATTTTAATGATGTGAACCATCCTTACAGACTCATTGTTTTCAGTTTTAACTGTTGTCCTTCAATGATATAACCTTACAGACTCATTGTTTTCAGTTTTAACTATTGTCCTTCAATGATATAATGATATAATGATATCAATGATATAACCTGAACAATGAATGAATGAATGAATGAATGAATGAATGAATGAATGAATGAATGAATGAAGGAAGGAAGGAAGGAAGGAAGGAAGGAAGGAAGGAAGGAAGGAAGGTCGGACAGATGGACGGACGGACGGATGGACGGGTAAAAATGGATGGATGGATGGATGGATGGATAGATGGGTGAATGAATGAATGAATGAATTAATGAATGAATGTTTGGGACAGAATCAAGATACATTTCAGAGTCCCCAAATCAGCTCCCCAAATGAACCAGGGATTCCATGCACAGACTGAGACCTGGATCTGTGCACACCCATTTTTGCCAGTATCCAGAGGTGACTTGGTATCTTGATTTGAAAACGTATACCTGCTCCGCCAGACCTGCATTTACCTTGCTGGATGCACAAATGAGCAGGATTTCCTTGCTCCTTAATCTTCCCCCAGCTGCCTGGATAGCTCAGTGTTTTAAGTATTTGGCTGCAGAGCCAGAGGTTGGGAGTTGGAGTCCTCCACTGTGTTTCCTGGGAGAAGAGACAGCCTGGGTAGCCCTGGGCAGGCTGCACAGTCCCCAGGGCGCCCCCTGGAGGAAGGGAAGGGGAAACCACTTCTGAGTCTTCTCTCCCTGGAAAGCCCTAAAAAGGGTCACCCTGAGTCAACATTGACTTAAGGGCACCTGATGGTTATATGAACCCTCCTGCAGCATCACGCCTAAAGTGGCTGTGATCTGATGAGGGCTTGAACAAAAGAGGGGCCCGCCCTTCATGAATAGAGATGCTGGGAAGGCGTGGAGCTGCTCACCGCTTGGCGTTGCTCTGGAGCGGGGATCTCAAGATGCGTCTCTGCCTGCTGCAGACTGCAGAGTGTCTTCTGCAGCAGTCCGATGCAGTGGGCTGTTGCACGGCTGGTGGGCAGGTGCTGGGCAGGGCAGAACGTCCTTCTCTAGGACAGGCTGATTCTTCGGTGGCCAACCCTAACCCAATCCCCCCTCCACCTGGGCTTTTCAAGGGGGCAGAGGGAGAGGCCAACGGAGCTCGAGGAGACCCCCCCAAAAGGGTCAGGGTGAGCTGAAGAGGATGCTCCAAACCTGTCTTTCAAGCTCTGTTTAAGCCGTCCTCGCTGGGTGTTGCATCAGAAGTAGCCCTAGAATGGGCCAACAGCTATATCATTGCGACCACGTTTTTTTTTTAAGAAGTCTCAAAGCTTGAATCGGGAAGAAGGGGAACGCCTGAGTGGGTGGGTGTCGGATAATGTCTGCCTTTTATGTCTTTGTGGAAAAGTGTCTGTCCTGTCCCCATTTTCCCATTCCAGGAAACATGAGGCTAAGGAGGGCCTCACAAGCTTAAGAAGGATCATTTGTCGAAACGAAACCATGAAACAAACGGCAGAGAAGGGGAACTGTTAGAAGCCAAAAATCAAAGGATGATCTGCTCCGAGTTGGAGCTAGCAAGACATTTCAAGGGTGTCCATGATTTGTTGCATTCTTCTGTAGCCAAGTGTGATGGAAGCGCATAAGGGTTAAAACGGTTACTAGATTCCAGTTACTTTTAAAGGGCATTTTTTGGTTTTTTTTAAAAAAGGAGACATTTTGATGGGTGTTTTTCTATCCTGATCTCAGCCTCTTATCAAGCCCAAAAGCCAAAAGGAATGATATATAAATGAAAATATAATGAACAACTCAGTGGGAACTGCTGGACAGCTTAGAGGTTTGAGTATCTGGCCGGGGAGCCAGAGGTTCATCTATCCTGATCTCAGCCTCTTATCAAGCCTAAAAACCAAAAGGAATGATATATAGATGAAAATGTAATGAACAACTCAATGGGAACTGCCGGACAGCTTAGAGGTTTGAGTATCTGGCTGGGGGGCCAGAGGATGGGAGTTCGAATCCCCACTGGGCCTCCTTGACAGGGGATGGACTCGATGATCCCATAGGGTTCCTTCCAGCTCTGCAGTTCTACTATGTTGATTATAGAATGATGCAATACCTTTGCCAGAAACAAAGATGGACATCGTGGGCAACCAGATGTTGGCAAATGCCACAATATTAGGGTCCCAGCATTTGGGACCCAGGGTGAATTTCCAGTAGTTGAAGACCAGTATGTTCTCTGTTGACCCCCCCCCCCAAAATTTATGCTCTTCTTCTTTTTCTGTTTCCTGTTCACCTTTCCCAACCCAACCCAACCCAACCCAACCCAACCCAACTCAACTCAACTCAACTCCCAAGGCATCATGTCCACTATGTCATCCCATACGACGGAGACCAGTCAGTGGTGGATTCCTCCGAGAATTACTTTGTGACGGACAATGTCACTAAGCAGGAGATTGATCTGATGCTGGGACTTTTGTTGGGATTCTGTATAAGCTGGTTTCTGGTCTGGATGGACGGGGTGCTCCATTATGCCGTACGAGCGTGGCGAACAAGCAGACGGTATGGTAAGTGGATGCTCGCCAGTCGTTTCGAGGAAGGGTCTAACATTTTTTAAATTGCATTTATACCCCGCCTATCTAGTCGAATGACCACTCTAGGCAGCTTCTAACATATAGAGCAACAATATAACAAAATTGCAATATACAGTAACAGAAATCTAGTCGAATGACCACTCTAGGTGGCTTCTAACATATAGAGCAACAATATAACAAAATTACAATGTACAGTAACAGAATTTGTAAACATCAGTAAATGAATTATCCAACAAGAAAAAAGGGGAAAAAAAGAAAAAAAGGAATATATATATATATGCCTTGGGTCGGCAAATGGCAGCCAAGGATTGCAATCTGTCCTTCCCAAACTTTCTCAACATAGCTTCTAACCCCAAGGATCCAACAGGAGGGACAGGCACTGAATAGCAGATGGAGTAGTTCACACAGTATGACCTCTCTCAAATGTATTAGAATTAACCTGTGGAACTCACTTCCACAAGATACAGAGCTCGTTGCTGTACCAGCATACATTCCCAGTTAGATGTCCTCACTATCTACCCGTGACACCTCACAAGCCGCATTGGTGGTTAGAGATACCTTCCTGTTCCTGTTTATTATCTATAGCCTGGGATTAATTTAGCTACCTATCATTGTCATTGTTTACAGAACGATGCTTCCTGGGAAGGGAACTGAATATCAGCAAGGGTTTTAAAGGTCATTGCCAGGTCAACAACCTGTACACCAATAAAGTCTCTGGTTTGGGGCCATGTACAGTAGGACTCCTGCCTCCTCAGGATCAATATCGACAGTTTCACTTATCCACAGTGTGAAAAATAATAAAAATATAAAAAGAAAACAAAAACAGAAACACATATTTTTCTGCTTTACTAGAATTGGCCAAAAGAGGGAGCTAGAGACCATGAATTCTTGTTGTTGACAAATAAATAGCATGGTCTCTGGATCCCTCTAGTGGACAGTTCTGGTAATGCATGGTGAAAATAAATATTTCTGGATTTTTCTTTTTCTTTTAGCCTGCTATGTGTAGCAATTGCTATTACCCATGGTTTTCAGCATCTGCAACCACTCCCCCATGGAAATGGGGGTCTTACTGTACACAGTTATAAATATTTGCCATTTGTAGTCCCTCTCTTATGTGTGAAGAAATGGACTTGTCCATAAAAGCTCAGATTAAAATATAGCCATCTTCAAGGTGCCACAATGTTTTTTGTTTTGTTTATTTATTTTTTAGCTTAGAGGACCCATGGTTTTCAGCATCTGCAACCACTCCCCCATGGAGATGGGGGTCTCACTGTACACAGTTATACATATTTGCCATTTGTATTCCCTTTCTTATGTGTGAAAAAATGGGCTTGTCCATGAAAGCTCACATTAAAATATAGCCATCTTCAATAAACACAATGTTTTTGTTTATTTATTTATTTTTTAGCTTAGACATGAGTGTGAGATTTCAGCATCTGCAACCACTCCCCCATGGAGATGGGGGTCTCACTGTACACAGTTATACATATTTGCCATTTGTATTCCCTTTCTTATGTGTGAAAAAATGGGCTTGTCCATGAAAGCTCACATTAAAATATAGCCATCTTCAATAAACACAATGTTTTTGTTTATTTATTTATTTTTTAGCTTAGACATGAGTGTGAGATTTGAACTTTGCTTGGGTCACGGTGACGTCTCTCTGTCTCTCCACCTTTTGTTTTTCTAGACAACTCCTGGTCTTGGATCCCCAAATTTTGTAACTTCAAGGAGTTCAGAAAACGTCACCACCGGCAATACGACGAAGCCACCGGGAACATGGTACATATCAAACAGAAGCTGTACCACAACGGCCACCCGAGCCCCAGACATCTCTGAGGGAGCCGAGACTGAGGCGAGGCCACGCAACGTGGCCCTCGCCGTCCTCCGCGGGGGACTTGGCCCGTTCGCCCCCTCCGGGGACACCAGTTAAAGACTTCCATTGAGTGACTCCCGACAGCGTGTCGGCCCGGCACCCGGGAGAATGCACAATCCGACCCGGTCCCGGAGGCGAGGCGCCCGAGACGTCGCACTGTGTTTGCCATTTCATTGGTGGACTTCTGTAGATATGTAAACAACAACAAAAACACCACAAAAATCCAAAAGTTGTCGGGGGGGGGAACGGGGGGGGAGGAGAGAGACTTTCCGTTGTACTTCCAGCCCATCGTTTACCTCGATGGTGTCCTGAAAAACCAGTGTACCTTTTTTTTTTAAATGTTCCGTTCGTTCCTGGGTTTGTTCCAAAATCTGTTGTTGTCGTTAGAGGTCTCTGTAGGTCGGCCCGGCCCGAAGACGCCATGTTTAGCCTCCAAGAGCTTACAAACGCTGTTTCAGTTATGTCCGCCTGACACCCCCCCGCCCCGAATCCAACCTAGTGCTAAAATTGTCTTGTTTCTGATGCCGATCTCGGTTCGAAGTTTCTTCTGTCCAGCAACTACCGTGTTATGTCCTGTTTTCGGTTGTTTTGGAATCCGGGCGGGTAAGCTTGGTTTTCTCTCCCTGTTGATTTTCTCTTCGTTTCTTTGAAATAATGAGATCTGTTGTTCTGCCTGCCTCATTTTGGCCATTTTGTAAGGAATCTACGAACACCGATAACGTCAATGTAAAATGGAGCCACCACGAAGCTGGAAACAGATCCGCGGTGTGTGTGTGTGTGTGTCCTGTTGATGTTTCTCTGTTGGGTTTGACGGAAGGACCCTCAAGGTGTCTTGAAACAGGCCTTCGCGGACATCGCTGGTTGTATCTTCTACCGTTGAGGATTAAGTGTTCTAGACGTTTCAGCCCCAAAGGGTTACTGACAATGCATCAAATCCTAAAGTCATTCTGTGATAACATCACCACTTAGAGTTGCAATTAGAGAACTGACATAGCTTCAAGATTGGTCCCGTGGGGTAGATCCACTTGGCTGGGTTTTGGCTTCTTTAGGGGGTTAGCTGGTCTTGTGAATGTTTCAACGTATCGCTTGCCTTTTGCCGATCAGAGAATGGGCCTGTTTGGTTCTATACGGTCTGCTCTGGCTGGCAGTCACAGTCCTAGGTCTCAGAGAGAGAAGAGTCGTTCACATTATTTGATAAAAATAATCACATGCCATCAGGTTGATTCTGACTTATGCTTTCCAGGGTTTTCTAGATAGAGAAGATCATGCCATCAGGTTGATTCTGACTTATGCTGAGAAGACTCAGAGGTGTTTTCCCTTCCCTTCCTCCAGGGGGCGCCCTGGGGACTGTGCAGCTGGCCCAAGGCTACCCAGGCTGGCTGTACTTACTTGCAAGAGGCACAGTGTGGAATCGAACTCCCAACCTCTGGCTCCAGTCGGTTGCCCAAACCACTGAGCTATCCAGTCTGCAGGATTTGTTAATTGTTTTTGGAGGAATTGAGCCTAGCACCTGCAAATCAGGGTTCTACCTTTGAGCAATAGTCTCTTCCCAATTTACCAGTTTTACAAATTCCTCTAGGTCTGGGTAACCCTGATGTTCTTGGACTGCAACTCCCAGAATCCTTCACCACCAGCTGCGCTGGCTGGGGTTTCTGGGAACTGCAGTCCAAGAACACCTGGGTTGCCCAAGGTTGCGAACCATCATTTTATGATCTCGGTTTAGAGCAGATTGCCGCATCTTCTGGAATGGAGGCTGTCCTGGGCCAGACAGTATGAAACCATCATGCCTAACTACAGGATGCTCTCCTTATCTGAAGGATCAGTATCCACTGATTCACTTATCCACATATGAAAATATTAAAAATATTAAAAGAAAAATCCTAGAAATATCTATTTTTAAAGATGAAGTTACCAGAATAGGTCACTAAATGGAGCCAGAGAATATGCCAAGTCTAGCATTGAATGTTAAAATAGTGTTGGCTATAATCCGTGTTTTTCAGCAGCGGCAGGGGGTTTGGAACGAATCTCCCACAGATACATGGATCCGGCTGTATTTGTGCCATTGATGAGACCAGCTACCTCAACCATTTAAGTGCAATGGTATTCAAAACCCATTTTATGAACCGACGCTGACATTGTTGTACAGAGGGGTGCGGCACCAGCTCCTCTCCCTAACAGCCCCATTGCTGAATATAAATAGGTCACTAATTCACCAAAATAATTATTAAATCCTTTTCATGCCGGTGTTTTAAAATGCATGGTTATGGTCCCCTTGCAAGCTCTTCTGGCCCTTTAAAAGAAACGGATCCCGAAATCTGGGTGTGGCCTGGCCAAGCCAATTAGAAAAGGGACTGTTGGCATGCCTGACTGTTAAAGGGACAGCACACCCTGTTTCCATGTAGAAATCCCATCTCTGGGGGGCTGCTAGAGCTTTAAGAGCAAAGTGGCCCCACCTTTGAAGCAGCTGTTTCAGCTGGGGGAATACCAAGAGGTGGCCAGGGTAGCAGCTAGGGGCGGGAGCTTCAAATTTCTTGGGACTACAAATCCCATAATTCTTCATTCTGGGAGTTCTACTTGATTTACACACACCCCTTACTGCTGCCTAAATGGGACTCGCCTGGGGGGGAAAGGCCTAGACTGAAAAGGTTTGAGACTTAGCTAGGCCTATTTCCACCTAAGCTTCCTGTTCAGGAAAAAGAAACCCACTTCCCAGCTAGCACTGGGGCAGGAAGAGGAAGCTTGGGCAGAGCTAGGCCTAGCTCAGCCTCAAAGCTTCCTTTGGAAAAAAAAAAGACCATATCTTTGATTCCTCTATTGTGTGATCGCTTTATTTATGTGATTAAATGGTTGTGTGTGTGGAAATCTCACAACAAAGAAGCCCAAGAGCAAAAGAGGAAATGGACTGCCATAATAAGTTTATTATGATGGATTTTGTTACCTCTATACAAAGATGGTGTTCATTAGTGTCCATTTTTAGGTCTGTGAAAGAGAGAGAGAGAGGAGTGGTGGGATGATGAAGACATACCATATAGGATCTATATTTTTGTCTTTGTATGTTGCACATCTTACATTTATATATATATATTATATATATATATATTTATCTATTTATACATTTATATAATTTCACAGCTGTTTCTCAAATGCCTTAATTTGTCCCGATTGTGCATATGTCTCCATCCGGATATTGTGGAAGGCGTGCACTCTAGAGGGTCTACTCTGGAGCAAGAGTTTTCAGATGGGTTGGGGTGTGTTTGTGTTCATAAATCAACGGAAAAGGGCAGTCCTCTTCCATACCATTCTGGGTTTATATATATTGCATTATTTTTCTCAATGAAACAATTTTAATATGAAATTCTGCCCCCGAGTGATCCGAATTCTTCATTGGGAAATGGAAAGTCTTGTGCCGGGCAGCCATTATGTAAATCTGCATCTTACCTGATATTGCATCATTGATCGTGGTCTTGCTTACAAAGGGAGATGGAGACTGACAATGTTTTTTCTTTCTTTCATTCAACACTTAGTAAACCATCTCTTTGATTTCTTAAGATTTCACCAGGCGCTTCCTCATTTCATGATACATGTTCGTATAGGCTTGAGGATGACAAACTTTGTCCTCTCTCCAAAAAAGGAAAGCTGTCATTTGCAGAGACATGGATTTCGTACCCAGGAATCCTTTCCTGTCATTAAGCCCAAGGTTTTGTGGAACTGTGACAGGCACAAAAATTTTATGGGAGGGAGGCAGGTTGGCAGTAATATATTTTCATCATCATCAAATAACTGACTTCCACCAGAATTAGCATTACAGACCTTGTCCTCTCTCCAAAAAAGGAAAGCTGTCATTTGCAGAGACATGGATTTCGTACCCAGGAATCCTTTCCTGTCATTAAGCCCAAGGTTTTGTGGAACTGTGACAGGCACAAAAATTTTATGGGAGGGAGGCAGGTTGGCAGTAATATATTTTCATCATCATCAAATAACTGACTTCCACCAGAATTAGCATTACAGACCAATGTGACTTCGTACCCAGGAATCCTTTCCTGTCATTAACCCCAAGGTTTTGTGGAATTGTGACAGGCACAAACATTTTTATGGGAGGGGGGGCAGGTCGGCGGTAATATATTTTCATCATCGTCAAATCACTGACTTCCACCAGAATTAGCATTACACACCAATGTGAAGAAAGGCCTAGCTTGGGAGGTTTTGAGGTTCAGCTAGGCCTAACTCCACTCATGCTTCCTGTTCCTGCCCCAGTGCTAGCTGGGAATTTTTTTCCCCTGAACAAAAAGCTAGACCTAGCTAATCCTCCAAGTGTTGCAATTCAGGCCATTCTTCCAGATGAGCCAAAGTGTCTTGTCTGTCAGGTGGAACTCCCAGAATGGAATGTTGGTGACTCCGAGTCCCATCAAACCCAGTTAACAGGGCCGCTGTGGTCAGGGATGATGGGCATTATAATTCAAATTATCTGGGAGGGCAGAGGTTCCCTACCTCTTCTTTAAAAGTAGGAAGTCCACATCCTGATAATGTATATGGCCCCATCTGAGTAATTCTGGGCTTTCTAACATTGCTCTCCCCATGTTTACCTAGGACAAAACAATGGGTCTCGTTCTTTTAAAATGCTTTGCACAGATAACTCTGTCTCTGGCGGTTAAGAGTTCGATCCCCCACTGGGGAATTATTATTATCCTAGACAGGGTGGAAGAAGAAGAGATTTGTTTGCCCAATATGAATCACTTCGCAGTTCATTACTTTTGTGGTCAACTTCAGGTGCAATGAAATTAACAATCCATATCCAAACGCGATTAAGCAGCACCTTCAAAGATCTCTTTCAAAATCGTGAGACTTTACCTCTCTTCCACTATGGGATTTCAAAGAGATTCCCACCGTGCTCCACCAAGAAGCGGTTTTATGAGAATTTGAGGGAGCCAAAACACAGGACACAAGGTTGATAATGATTCGCCGTTTGGCAAAGGGAACTCTTTTAATATATTGGTTTTCCAGCTGCTCTGACAGCACGTACACACATACACAATTCTTCCAGGTGTTATCCTCGAGGTATCAAAAAAGGGGGGGAAAAAGACCCCCGAGGAAGGGGGTCCGGAAGGGCGGAACTGTGGCCCTCCCAACAGTAAGGCATTTTCTGCTGTTTGACATGATTCCATTGTGAATTTGGCCCCCCTGCGGCCCTTTTCCCATCATCCTTTGCTTCCCCGTACAGAAATGGCCTGCCATGTTTCCTTCCGTCGTCTCCGTTTCTTTGTGCCTGTAATAAAGAGAGGAGCTTCTCTCACACAGATTTCTCCAGAGCGAGAGGCAACGGCTGGTTCTTCCCGGCCTCCATCCCCTCAGCTTTCAGCCACTCCATTTTCTGCTTGTGTTGCTGGAGGGCGTCGGCCACGCGAGCGTCCATCATGGCCTCGGTCAGCACGCCGTCCTCCGAGGCGTAAGCCGCAGCCTGGAGAGGGGAAGAAGAGGGGAGAAAACATTGAACCATCTGGCTTCATGTTCTTGAGGCCAAACTCTTCTGGAGTACATACAGCAGGACACCCATATTCATGGTTTCACTGAAAATATTAAAAACATTTAAAAAATAAAATAAATCCCCTTAGGAATATGTACTTCCACAATGTCATTATCAGAACGGGCTGCTTTTGATGTGATAGAAGACAGAGAGAAAGATTGAGAGACAGAATGCTCACATATATATGAAAAGACAAAAAGGTTTAGCATATTAAAGGGACAATTAAACTAAAACGGAAGGAGATCAGGAAAAATACAGTCAAGCACTGTACTGTATTTGACTGATGAAAGCAAACGTTCCTTTGTCTGGTTCGGAAGTTCGCTTCGGAAGTTCTACAAGCTGGGAAGAGCCACTGAGAAGGCACCATAAACTATGGTTTGAAGCTGGCTTATTTTTACTGACCATAGTTAAGATTAGAAAGTCGCGGCAAGCTATGATGGAGAAAAAAAAGTGGAAACAGAGGGGAATCTGAAGATGGAATGGAGTCCTCCAGAAAAAAGGGTATATGTGGCTGGCTGGCAGTCTGATGTGTGGGGTTTGGAAGCTCATTGTGTATGGTGATCGCAGCTGGAAGATGCTTACGAGTCCTCGCCTTGTTAAGATCACTTCACTGGCTGGAACTGCATGTCTGAGAGCACCCCGGATGGCGGGCGTTTTTATTTTCTGTGCTCAAGCATACCCAGATGCTGTTTGTGAATGGACGCCTGCTGGAGAGCATGCCGGTGCTCCCTTGTGAGACACGGCACTGGCAGAAGGAAGACCTTTTATTTTCCCAAACAACAATTTCTGCTCCAGAACCCTCTTCCTCTGATATGGCATAGAAGGCGGGCTTCTCCCCCTCCCCATCGCACACACACACAGCCCTTCCCTGGGAATTTGGATCACCAAGACTCCAGCTGGAAGGACGACGCGCTTCACACTCGGCTGAATATCTCCGTGACTTTCTAAAAATAGACTTTCTTCCCTGCGGCGCCAGTCGCCAGGAAAAAAAATAAAATAAAAGCGAGGGGGAGAAAAGCAGCTGCCATTTCCAGGAAACCACCCAAGCTTCGGCTGACAAATGGGACTTCATCAAGAATGGGAACACTGGCCCTTGGGTGGTGTCTTTGCTCCCTCGGTCTCGTTTTAGTTTCCTGATCATGAGGGCTAGAAACTTGCCCTTTGAAACAAACTCTTTACAGTCCTGGCATCTCAGGAAGCGATGACGGGAACACAGAGCTATTAAAGCCTCATCTGTGTACCCTTGTCAGGACCCTAATTCCTCCATAACATGTCCCTCCTTCCCTGGGGTCTTCTTGGTTCCAATCGAGAGAGTCTAACCACTATGCCTTACTCTCCTCCAGCAGCAGAAAATGGCTTTCCACACCATCCTAGCTTTTTACAGTTGCATACACAAATGAAGCCCCTGTAGGCACATATAGGTTTTGTTTCCATGACCCCCCAAACCCCGTTAAGTGGAACAAAAAAGGCTTTAGCCTTAGCCGTATACCTTCAACATACATCAGCTTCTCTTCCTCTTCTCTAAAAGTTCCTCCACTCCTTAATGGCCCAGTCTCCCCACTGCACCCCCTTCAAGGGCACCCGCTTCCCTGGGACGCCTCCCGTTTTTTGGACAGCGTGTTGGATAAAACATGTTCCCACTGCCCCGCTTTACTGTTCTCTCCAGGACTAGAGCCTTTAAAATAATTCAGATGGGTTGAGCACTCCCCTCCATGTCTTTTGGTTTCAGCTTTTTCCGTTCAGAGACGGTTCCCCCCCCCAAACCCACCTCCTTTTCGGTTCTTGCTGGGTTATTTGATCCGGCTGAGCGGCGTGCCCACCAGACTGGGAAATCTCATCTAGGATGCAGGCTTTTGTCTGTCTCCAGACTGTGTTTCCGGGCTTGGAAAGAGACAGACAAGAGGGCCCCGAGAGGGGTGTCCGGATTAAGGTGGCGAGAGGACCAACCCTGGACCAGAGGGAGCCGCCCGAAGCCCGTTGATTTCCCAACGGTACTGTCACAACGGTGCTGGGGTAGAGGGTGTTAAAGCCCCTAACTCAACACAAAGAGGATTTTCACATTTGGATCAAACAGAACACAATGAAATTTTCCATTCTACTTGAATACGGACATCAAATGGCAGCTTTAAAGAGAAATGCTTCGGGGAAAGGCAGAATAAAGTAGCTGTGTTATTACCTAAAGTTACTAACTAACTTACTGTACTATGTTTAAAGTCACTACAAAAAAAATCCCCGCCCTGATTTATTTACTTATTTTAGTAAAAGGGTCCCGTTCTTCCACGATTCAGAGAATCCACCCGCTTCTTTTCTGAGGTCCTTGTTAATATTCTGCCGTTCCATACACCCATGGGAGGCGGTGGGAATAAGGAGCTCCCTTATGGGATCACAGTGTTCATTTTGAGAGCAAAGAAAAGCAGCTACCGCTTGGGAAAAAAAGCCCAAGTGTGGGTGGGGAGTTCAGAAATATCCGAAGGGAGAGACATAGCCGGTAAGAGTCTAGGCTTAGTGCCTCCTGTAATTCCTGAAACAGAGCAATATTATGGGGTTACACTCTCTGAACTTCTCTGTGCATGATGTTTTATCGTAGAAACTCAGGAGACCCACCTTCCTGTTACTCTGAAGCACCATATATTGATGCTGCTGATTATCTTAGAGCTGCAGAGCTAGAAGGGATCCTATAGATCATCAAGACCAGCCCATGTCAAGAAAGGCCTTACAGGGAATCAAACTCAGATCCCTTATAACCCCTGAGCTAATCCAGCAAAACTGAAACACGAATCCTTAAAATCTGCAGGGGTCAAAGGGTTATGGGGTCCGGCAAAACCAGAGGTCGATGCTTCCGAGGCCCTCGGCTGATGTGTCTCATCGACCCTTTGCCAGCGGGGGGACGATGGGTAGAGGAGTCGATCAAGATAAGGCCGCCTCGGCGCACTGTATTGAAAAAAAAATGTACGATCCACCAAACATTTTACGACTGCGCACGCTTTAGGTGGCCTCTGCTCGGAGGCAGGGAAGAGAGGTCTCTCGAAAAGAGACGGCAAGATTAAAATGCTGCAACGGGGATGTTGTTGAAGGAGCTAATTAAAGAAATCAGAATGACGAATTGGAGGCAAATTAAGCGGCAGCCGTAAGCGGCAATTTAGCCGCCCCTTTGGGACCAGCTTGAAGCAAGGGGAAGGAGGCAGGGCTAACCGCCTGCGTTTCGGCCCAGAACCAAGCACCGCTGGTTAGCTCAGTGGTTTCAGTCTTTGGCTGTGGGGCCAGAGGTTGGGAGTTCAATTCCCGCCCCTGCCCCCAACCCCCGGGTTTCCTGGACAGGGGCTGGACTCCAGGATCTGTTGGGTATCCCTTCTGGCTCTGCATTTCTAGCACAATGATTAAGATCATAAAAGCTGATCAGAGAGACGGGTCCTACTAAGTGGTTTAGCTCCAGACAGCTTTTCCCCCCCCCTCTGATTTGAAGCCTCGCCCAAGGAGTCTGTAACCCACCAAAATCTCTTTCTCGGGCTCGGAGAGAGAGAAAGGACCAGAGATGGACAAAGAAGGAAGGAAGAATGAATGAATGCAAACGGAATCTTTAAATATCTCCACCAGACACTGCATTGACATCAAGGTTGTTTGGCCTCGCCATGCGCACTAGAGAAGGCTGGAAAAGAGACCTTTTTGCCTCCAGCGCTGGAGTGCTCACCACCTTCCAACATCATGGGTTCCGTTGTCATACTGCTCTAACAGTTAAGAACTTCTTCCTTATATTCAGCCTACATCTGGCTTCCTGAGTTTGAAGCCCATTATTATGTGTCCTGCACTCTGAGATGATTGAGAACAGATCCTGCTGCCCCCCCCAACTCAATGGATCTGAAATGGAGCGCTCACCCCCCCCAAGGTCATTGTATCCAATGTTGTACTGCTCTAACAGCTAAGAAGTTTCCCCCCGATATTCAGCTGAAATCCGGCTATTCAGAGCTGCTGTTAAAATGCTCCGGCCACACCGGAATCAGCCGCAACTCAACAGCCTTGCTTTGGTGGAGGAGAAACAGCGCCGAGCGCCAGCTTCACCCTCCTGCTTTGACCGCATGGTTCCGATCTCACCTGCCAGGCCACGGCGAGCTGTGCAATCTCCCGGCCGGACATGCCTTCCGTCAACCTGGCAATCTCTGAGCACTTCTTCCCGTAGTCAAACTGGGCCAGTTTCAGGCGCCTAGAAATGAAGACAAGCGTCATGGGCAGAATGGTGTACCGGTTAGGGCTTTGCAGTCTCCAAAAGCTTACTTATTTGGGGAATTCGCAATCCAACTTCAGAAAAATATCGCCTGCCTGTGGTTTTTTTGGACACGAACGCAAATACTTAAACTGTGGGGTCCCAACCTTGGGCCCTCCAGATGTTCTTGGACTGCAACTCCCAGAAGCCTCCGCCAACCTGACTAGGACTTTTGGGAGTTGTAGTTCAAGAACATCTGGAGGGCCCAAGGTTGGGAATCACGATACAAGATGTCACAATAGCAAGGAGGGCGGTAATAGTTCTACTCACTGCTTGCCTTCGGTGGCCGGTTTGAGGATGTGCTTGTCAAAATACATCCGGACCAGGCGTTCTCTCTCCTCCAATCCAGGCAGCTGAAAATGAACCATTTCATCAATCCGGTCATTGATGGCCCAGTCAAACTGTTCCGGTTGGTTGCTGGCTAAGACGAGCATGAACCTGCCGAATAATAATCATCATCTTAGAACGGCAGAGCTGGAAGGGACCTTGTGGATCATCTAGTCCAACCCGTTAAGGAGGCCCAAGGGGGGAATCAAACTCCCCACCTCTGGCTCTGCAGCCGGACGCTGAAACCACAAAGCCATCTAGCAGTCAGAACAAAGCCCTACAACAAATCTACTCCGATGAGTTCCCTCTGGAATGTTGACCTACCGGGATCCCTTCTGCCTTAAATCCACATTCTCCCCACCCACCACCCACGCACACGAGTTGTCTGAAGAGTGCCCGTCGTACGGCTCAATCGTGAGCCACCACAAGGCGGCGAAAACGACTAGGGGCACATTCCTTTGCAGCTATTAAGAGGCATACGAGGCCATCTCCGGAAACGTAGAGGGAAAAAAGCGTCCATACACTTCCCAGCAGAAACGAATCCCTCTCCCTTTTATTAACTCCAGACTCTTCCAGAATAACCCTGATGAGGAACGCCTGCAGGACCGCACTTGGGGCGAATTCGGATAAAAAGCCGATCACTGGCAGGGCACAGGGCGAATGCGTGGATTCAAACCTCCCGTCCCACCTCTGAAACATTCCAGGATCTTGCCTGGATCAACCCTCCCCGCCCCCAAATCCAAATATATTTAAGCAGACATACTATGAAAGGAAAATACAACCAGCGCTGTACATTTAAAGGCAAACTGCAAGCACGTTTAAAAATAAGGAGGTTTCAAAGCAACAGAAAGAACAGAGCACAGCCTGAAAACCTGCGCAGGGCAGCCAGCTCCGTAAGACCAGCAGAAGATGTGTTTACCCACAGAGAGAAGAGCTAACAGTGCAATCCAATGTGAGTCTACTCTGAATCAAGTCCCTTTGCACCTGATGGGGCTTGCTCACTTGAAAAGCAGAGACCCCATTTCAGTCCGAAAGCTGGACTACATTTCAGAGAAGGGTGTCAGAAATTGGGTTCTACCAAGGATCTGGCCAAAAATTACCCACAGACTTCAGCTCAAAAGGGCCAAAAAATAAGCTTTGAGAAAGTCAGTCCTTCCAGTTGGGGGAACTCCGGCATGAAAGCTGGGGGCAACCACCCAACCATGGGGTCAAGAGAAGGGCAGTGGGCCTGACTGGAGTCGCAGGAGGGTCAAATTTGGCCCAATGGATTCAAGTTGCCAACCCTATCTGGCTTCATGTCCTACGTTGAGCTCTCTAACGCAGCCTGTACTTCTCTTCCTTCTGCTCACGAACACCTTGATGACTTCTCTGAATCTACATTTCGAATCCCATGTCAAGAACCGGCAGTCACCGGGTATGCAGGGTGGAAAAGAATCCCAGGGCTGAATCCTGACCATTTTCCTAAACATTTAAAAAAGAGAAGGGGGTGTTGGTTCTTCCCCGTTTTTGAGACGGACAGGCAGAAGAGGGCTGAAGAACGGCAGAAGCTGTGTTTCATGCCAGATCGAACCAATGCTTCTAAGATTAACGTAGCCCTCGAAAGCTGAAAAGTTGCGCTCCGGGTCTGCTTTTTAGCCAGCTTCCATCAAAGGCCGGGTGTAGATGTTGCTTTTGAAGAACCACAGGATAATCTTGCTCACTCTTCTCACAGAAGAGCAGAAGAACTCGTTTGCTCCAAGCATCCCCCGTTCCATAAAAGGTTGAGACACTTTCTGGGGCAGATTAGCCGTGTTCCCGGGTGGCTAAAAACCCAAGCAAACAATCCAAACAAGAAGCTCAGGGCACGGGGGAGAGGGAGGAGCTATGATAAACAGGCCAGTGCAAGACAGAAGGTTAATAAATAAATAGTAAATTAAGATCCTCGTTCCCTTTTCTTACTTATTGCTGTGCTGTCCAGTCCTGTGAAGGAACGCATTCAACGTTGCCCGTAGGTCCTCGCTGATTTTTTCCTGCAAGAGACAATCCATCAATCAAGCACGCACACAATTTGGCCGGCTCTTTTAGGGAGGCATTGGGGGGACAATCCCCAAGCTGAGGATGGCTATCCCTCTAGTCCATGCAGAGATCTAGGCATGCGTTGTGTGCGCAGGCATGCACACGCGTGGAACGGGCACGCACGAGAGCACTTACCGTCGACCTCTTCCGCAGGAAGGCGTCGGCCTCGTCTACGAACAGCAAGAGGCTGGAAAGAAGGAAAAGAAAAAGGGGGTTCGTGAGATGACCTGAACTGCATGGGGCAGCCTGAGCAAAAGGCAGTAGAAAATAGCTTGAAGAAAGGTACAGCGTTAGCAGGATTCAGGCGCACAAACCTTGCCATCGCTTCCCTCCCTCCCACAGCTGAATTTTAAGACATAGTAGTTCAGGGCGGACAATATTTGAAAGCTAAAACAGTGAGTGTCCAGATATTAAAAGAGAATTCGAGACGTATTATGTTAAAAATGGTGAATACAATCAATACTAAAGACCCCTTTAAAAACAAGAGAGCACAACAATCTGTTTAAAAAACAACCCCCAAACGCCTCTCAGGCTGCCAGCCACTAAGGAAGAGCCTGCCTGAAGAGAAAAGCCTTTGCCAGCTTGCAAAAGGA